GTTCTTTAGGTGGGGAAAGTTTTCTTCTATAATTTTGTTGAATATATTTTCTGGGCCTTTGATTTGCAGTTCTTCTCCTTCTTCAATCCCTATTATTCTTAGATTTGGTTTTTTTATTGTTTCCCAGATTTCCTGAATGTTTTGTGAAGAGATTTTGTTGGATTTGCCGTTTTCTTTGACCAGAGCATTTATTTTCTCTATGGTGTCTTCAGAATCTGAGATTCATTCTTCTATCTCTTGTATTCTTTTGGTTATGCTTGATTCTGTAGTCTCCGTTTGTTTACCTAGGTTTTCCATATCCAGCCGGTTCTCGGTTTGTGTTTTCTTCATTGCCTCCATTTCAGTTTTCAATTCTTGAACTGTTTCCTTTACCTGTTTGATTGTTTTTTCTTGGTTTCTCAGGGTATCATTCACGGATTTACTTATTTCTTCAAACTTTTTGTTTTATTTCTCATCCATTTCTATACTCATTTCTTCAAACTTTTTGTTATATTTCTCATCCAATTCTTTAAGGGAGTTATTCATATCCTGTTTAAGGGACTCTATTGCTTTCATAATGGCACTTTTTCCCACTTCTTCTGGGTTAAGGTGTTCAAGTCCTTCTATTGTAGGTTCCTTGGGATCTGGTGTTTTCATGTTGTTTTTCAGATTGTTGGATGAGGTCTTGCCTTGGCGTCTGCCCATCTCTTACTTCAAATGCTCTCTATTGGAACTTCTGGTACTGGGTCATGTTCCCTTCTTGGACAGGGGCTTCACTGACAGAATGCCCACCTTTCCTCAGGCAGGCTATTGAAGCATAGGCACTCCCTCTTTCTGGGATGCGCCTACAGAGCAAGCCCAGCGTGCAAAGCAGCTGAGCTGGGGAAATTTTATGGCCCCAGGGGGAAGGGAGAAATATAGGAATTTGTACCTGGATGGGAGCTGGGATGGCAGGCGGGAGGGGGGAGCCAGCACTGCAGGGTGACCTGGGAGTCTATGTGGTCGGGGAAAGCCCAAGCTCCTCCTCACCGGGACCCTGCCACGGGCCCGAAGCAAACTCATCCCTCCGATGGCCTTCTGCTAGAAGTCAGCTTCTAAAGTTTTCAAATGTTCTGTTAATTCACTAGTGTGGGATTTTCCCAGATTCTTTATGTAGGCATTTAGTACTGTGAACTTTCCTCTTAACACTGCTTTCATTGTGTTCCTTAAATTTGGGTATTTTATGTGGTCATTTTCATAGAATTGTAGGAAGTCTTTAATTTCTCCTGTTATTTCTTTCTCAACCCATTCATGATTCAGGTAAGCATTGTTTAATTTCCATGTGTTTTTTGGCTTTCTGAAATTAGTATTTCTGTTGAATTCTAGTTTTAAGCTATGGTGATCTGATAAGATATATGGGGTTATTCCATTTTTTTCATATCTGTTGAGGTTTTTTTTTTTGTTACCAAGTATGTGGTCAGTTTTTGAGAAGGTTCCATGAGGTGCTGAGAAGAAGGTATCTTCTTTCATGTTTGGATGGAATATTCTATAGATGTCTGTTAAGTCCATTTGAGTCATAACAACTGTTAGTTCTCTTATTTCTCTGCTCATTTTTTGTCTGACTGACATGTTCAGTGGTGAGAGTGGAGTGTTGAAGTCTCTCACTATTAGTGTGTGGGGTTTAATGTATGATTTAGATTTTAGAAGCGTTTCTTTTACATATGAAGGTGCCCTTGTATTTGAGGCACAGATACTCAGTATTGAGATTTCCTCTTGATGAATTTTTCTTGTGACTAATATGAAATGTCCTTCTTTGTCTCTTTTGATTGATTTTTAGCTTGAAGTCTATTTTGTTAGATATTAGGATAGCTACATCTGCTTGTTTCTTATGTCTGTTTGATTGGAAAATTTTTTCCCACCTCTTTACTCTGAGGTGATGTCTGTCTTTGAGGTTGAGGTGTGTTTCTTATATGTAGAAGAAGGTATGTATTCTGTTTTTGTATCCAATCTGTTAGCCTGTATCTTTTTATAGGTGAGTTGAGTCCATTTCCATTAAGTGATATTAATGACCAGTGATTGTTATCTCCTGTTAATTTAATTTTCATTGTTGACGATGTTAATTTGTGCGTTTTTCCCTTCTTTGGTATTTGCTGCTATGAGACCACCATCTATGTTTTTGTTTATGTAGCCACCATCTTTGTGTTGGAGTTTTCCTTCTAGTATTTTGTATAGGGCTGCGTTTGTGGGTTGGTATTGGTTAAATCTGGTTTTGTCACGGAATATCTTGTTTTGTCCTTCTATGGTGAATGAAAATTTTTCTGGGTATAGTAGTCTGGGCTGGCATCCGTGGCCTCCTAATAAGTGTGGCATAATGCTTGACTACCACTTTCTGGCTTTCATTGTCTCCAGTGAGAAATCAGGTGTAATTCTTATAGGTCTGCCTTTATATGTTACTTGGTCTTTTTCCTTTGCAGGTCTTAATATTCTTTCTTTATTCTGTATATTTAGTGTTTTGATTATTATGTGGTGAGGGGAATTTTCTTTTGATTCAGTCTGTTTAGTGTTCTGTTTGCTTCTTGTATCTTTATATGCATATCTTTCTTTAGGTTAGGGAAGTTTTCTTCTATGATTTTGTTAAATATATTTTCTGTTATTTTGAGTTGAACTTCTCCTTCTTCTATACATATTATTCTTAGGTTTGGTGTTTTTATGGTGCCCCATATTTCCTGGATATTTTGGTTTAAGCTTTTGTTAGATTTCATATTTTCTTTGATGGATGAGTCTATTTCCTCTATTGTATCTTCAGCGCTTGAGATTCTCTCTTCCCTCTCTTGCATTCTGCTCTTTATGCTTGTGTTTGTGATTCCTAATCGTTTTCTCATTTCTGTTTCTATAATTTCCTTTGTTTTTGTTTTATTTATTGTCTCTATTTCAGTTTTTAAGTCTTGAATAGTTTCTTTCATATGTTTGATTGCTTTTTCTTGGTTTTCTCTAAAGGATTTGCTGATGTCTTCCATTTTTTGTTTCTCTTTTCCTCCATTTCTTTGAGGGAATTTCTTATTTCCTCTTTAAGAGTTTCAAACATTCTCCTGATGTTATTTTTCACCGCATTTTCTTCCACTTCATCTATATTTGGTAGTTCAAGTCTGGCTGCTGTAGGGTCTCTAGTTTTTACTGTTGTCATTCTGCTCTTTGTGGTGTTGCGTGTGTTCTTACCTTGAGTACTCATCTTTTCCTCTCATTGGTGTGGTTGGGGTTGTCTGTGATTCTGTTGATTAATCTTCTAGGGGCCAGTGAATTCAAGGCTCAGATGGTTGTTTGTCATGGTACAGTCAGTGCCACAGTTCTAGTTACCCCGTTGATCACTCTGTGTTACTGGAGATCACTCAGTGCTCCTGGGCTTTGCTCTGCTCCCGTGGTGTTTGTTGTCTCAGGCCTACTCTAGCCTAGGTTGTCAGCTCAGACCTTTTTCTGTAAGAATCCCTGGTCTGAATCTGCTCATGCAGAGGTCCCTGGCTTGGGGTGGTCCTGTAAAGGTCTCTGACTCTTATCTACTCCCTCAGATATCTGAGACTCGGGTGTGCCCAGACCCACAGAGAACCTGGCTTAGGCCTACTCCCTCAGAGGTCCCATACTCATGCCAGGACCCATAGAGGTTTCTGGTTCCTGCCTACTTCCTTAGATATCCCGGACCGAGGCCTGGATCCACTGAGGCCCTGGCTCAGGCCTACTCCCTCAGAGGTCCCAGACTCACGCCTAGACCCGCAGAGATCTCTGGTTCCTGCCTACTTGTTCAGAGGTTTTAGACTGGTGCCCAGACCTGCAGAGGTCCTGGCTCAGGCCTAATTCCTCTGAGTCCTAGACTCACGCCCAGACCCACAGGGGTCCTGGCTCAGGTCTACTCTCTTGAAGGTTCCAGATTCATGCCTGAACCCACAGTGGTTTCTGGCTCTGACCCACTCACTCAGTGATTGCTCCCCATACCTGCTCCTGTGAAGTTTGCTGTCTCAGATCTGCTCTGGCCCAGGTCACTGACTCAGTTCAGCCTCTGCAAATATCCCTGGTCTGGTTCTGGCACTTTCAGGCCTGCTCTGGTATAGGTAGCTGGCTTATTCCCTCTCTGCTCCCATGGAAGTCACCACCTTAGGTGATCTTGCCTAGGTCACTGGCCCAGTCCTGCTTCCGCAAATGACCCTGACCTGGATTCACTTCTGCTCTCATGGAGTTAACTGTCCCAGGCCTGCTCAGGCCCAGGTCACTGGCTCAATCCTGCTCTTCTGGATTTCACTGCCTCAGATTTGCTCTGGCCTAGGTTGCTGGCTCCATCTTGCTCCTGTGGAGTTCACTGCCTCAGTAGGTTCTTAGGTTTGATCTCAGCTCTACCATAAAGTAAAACTTTTAGCCTTGAACCTTGAAAGATGAACTGGTGCCATGGTCTTTTCTGATATTCTCATACTGAGCCCTCTCTATCACACTAAGGTGCCATGAAGCTGGACACTTCCTCCCCCACCCCATTTTAAAGATTTCATGATGTTGTTTAGTGCCTTCATCCTTTTACTTCCTTAGATACTCATTTTAGCCTGTTACCACCTAGGTAAAACCACAGAAGGCAAGGTAAGTAAAATCTTTCTGGACCTCATATTTATTTTTTTTCTTTTTGTTTATCAAGGCAGGTTTTTTTTTTCTTCCCCAATGTAGCCCTGGCTGTCCTGGAACTCACTCTATAGATCAGGCTAGCTTTGAACTCAGAGATCTGTCTGTCTCTGCTTCCAGAGTGCTGGGATTAAAGGTGTGACTCACCACGTCCTGGATTTGACCCTCAAATACTTGTGCTGTTTGTAGGTCCTTTGAATTTCCGTGTCTCTAGGGTGATCCTGGGATTGGTTCTAATCTGAGTCTGTTGTAACCCTTTGACCAGTGTAATTGCTCCTTAAATAACACTCAGCCTTGGGAAGGGAGGGAGTCCACATACTGGGTGTTGAGGGCCTTTGGAATCAGGTGGACTGCACATGGATTTAATTCTACTTCGTGTTTTTTAACAGTGGGCAGTTGGTATGGACTCTGAGAGCCTCAGTTCCAGGAGCTACAACATGATGAAGAGACCACCCCCCCAAACTGTTCTGGTAACTGACTGGGAGCAAGCATTAGACAGCAAATGGATCATCAGCATCTCTAGAGATGAACTGTTATTGATGTCAGTTTTCTTTTTTAATAAATAAATAAATTAATTAAAAAATTCCACCTCTTCCCTGCCTCCCTTTTCCCTCCCCATCCCCACCTCCCCCTCCCTCTCTACTCTTAAGAGCAGTCAGGGTTCCCTGCCCCGTGGGAAGTCCAAGGTCCTCCTCCCTCCATACAGGTTTATAAAGGTGAGCATCCAAACAAACCAGGCTCCCACAAAGTCAGTCCATGCAGTAGAATCAAAACCCATTGCCATTGTCCTTGGCTTCTCAGTCAGTCTTCATTGCCAGCTACATTCAGAGTGTCCATTTTGATCACATGCTCCATCACTCCCAGTCCAGCTGGCCTTGGTGAGCACCCATTAGATCAGTCCCACTGTCTCAGTGGGTGGACGCACCCCTCGTGATCCTGACTTCCTTGCTCACGTTCTCCCTTCTTCTGCTCCTCATTTGGACCTAGGGAGTTAAGTCCAGTGCTCCAATGTGGGTCTCTGTCTGTATCTCCACCCATCGCCAGATGAAGGTTTTATGGTAATATGCAAAATATTCATCAGTATGGCTATGGGACAAGGCCAGTTCAGGCACCCTCTCCTCTGCTGCTCAGGGAAAAATCTGAGGACCTCTCCTTGGACCTGGGAACCCCTCTAGAATCAAGTCTCTTGCAAACCCTAAAATGACTCCCTTAGTTGAGATATTTACTTCCCTGCTCCCATATCCATACTTCCTCCATCCCACCCATCCTATTCCTCCAAGCTATCCCGAATCCTCCCCTTCTCCCTTCTCTCTACCCATTTCCCCTTACATCCACCCTCCACCCCCCCTCCACCGTGCACCCAAGTTTTGCCTGGCAATCTTGTCTACTTCCAATATCCAGGAGGATAACTATATGATTTTTTTTAGGTTCACTTTCTTATTTAGCTTCTCTAGGATAATGAATTATCCTAGGCTCAATTTGAATTAAAGGCTCAAAGACCTTTAATTATGGCTAGAATCCACTTATGAGTGAGTACATACCATATTCCTCTTTTTGGATCTGGGTTACCTCACGCAGTAAAGCGTTTTCTATTTCCATCCATTTGCATGCAAAATTCAAGATGTCATTGTTTTTTAGCGCTGAGTAAAACTCTAATGTGTATATGTTCCACACCTTCTTTAACCATTCTTCTATTGAGGGGCACCTAGGTTGTTTCCATGTTCTGGCTATTACAAATAGTGCTGCTATGAACATAGTTGAACAAATGCTTTTGTAGTATGATAGGGCATCTCTTGAGTATATTCCCAAAAGTGGAATTGCTGGGTCCTGAGGGAGGTTGACTCCCAGTTTCCTGAGAAACTGCCACACTGATTTCCACAGTGGCTGCACCAGTTTGCATTCCCACCAACAATGGATGAGTATTCCCCTCACTCCACATCCTCTCCAGCATACGCTATTATTGGTGTTTTTGATTTTAGCTATCCTGACAGGTGTAAGATGGTATCTCAAAGCTGTTTTGATTTGCATTTCCCTGATCGCTAAGAAGGTTGAGCATGACCTTAAGTGTCTTTTGGCCATTCGAAGTTCTTCTGTTGAGAATTCTCTGTTCAGTTCAGTACCCCATTTTTTAATTGGGTTAATTAGAGTTTTAGTGTCTATTTTCTTGAGTTCTTTGTATATTTTGGAGATCAGACCTTTGTCTGATGAGGGGTTGGTGAAGATCTTCTCCAAGTCAGAAGGTAGCCTTTTTCTCTTACTGACAGTGTCCTTTGCTTTACAGAAGCTTCTCAGTTTCAGGAGGTCCCATTTATTCATTGTTTTTCTTATTGTCTGTGCTACTGGGGTTCTACTTAGGAAGTGGTCTCCTGTGCCCATGTCTTGTAGACTACTTCCCACTTTCTCTTCTATCAGATTCAATGTGGTCAGATTAATATTGAGGTCTTTAATCCATTTGTACTTGAGTTTTGTGCATGGTGATAGATATGGATCTACTTTCATTATTCTACAGGTTGACATCCAGTTATGCCAGCACCATTTGTTAAAGATGCTTTCCTTCTTCCATTGTATACTTTTAGCTCCCTTGTCGAAAATCAAGTGTTCATAGGTTTGTGGGTTAATATCTGGGTCTTCTATTCGATTCCATAGGTCGACTTCTCTGTTCTTATGCCAATACCAAGCTGTTTTCAATACTGTTGCTCTGTAATAGAGTTTGAAGTCAGGGATGGTAATGCCTCCAGAAGTTCCTTTATTGTATAAGATTGTTTTGGCTATCCTTGGTTTTTTTATTTTTCCATATAAAGTTGATTATTGTTCTCTCGAAGTCTGTGAAAAATTTTGTTGGGATTTTGATGGGGATTGCATTGAATCTAAAGATTGCTTTTGGTAGAATTGCCATTTTCACTATGTTGATCCTCCCAATCCAAGAGCAAGGGAGATCTTTCCATTTTCTGGTATCCTCCTCAATTTCTTTCTTCAAAGACTTAAAGTTCTTGTCAAATAGGTCTTTCACTTCCTTGGTTAGAGTTACCCCAAGATATTTTATGCTATTTGTGGCTATTGTGAAAGGTGATGCTTCTCTGATTTCCCTCTCTGCTTCTTTATCCTTTGAGTATAGGAGAGCAACCGATTTTTTGGAGTTGATCTTGTATCCTGCCACATTACTAAAGGTGTTTATCAGCTGTAGGAGTTCTTTGGTAGAGTTTTTGGGGTCGCTTATGTATACTATCATATACATAATGAAATAACGAAAGTTTAACTTCTTCCTTTCCAATTCGAATCCCCTTGATCTCCTTATGTTGTCTTATTGCTATTGCTAGTACTTCAAGCACTATATTGAAGAGGTATGGAGAGAGTGGACAGCCTTGTCGTGTTCCTGATTTTAGTGGAATGGCTTTGAGTTTCTCTCTATTCAATTTGATGTTAGCTGTCGGCTTGCTGTAAATAGCTTTTATTATATTTAGGTATGATCCTTGTATCCCCAATCTCTCCAACAACTTTACATAAAGGCGTGTTGAATTTTGTCAAATGCTTTTCCAGCATCCAATGAAATGATCATATGGTTTTTTCTTTCAGTTTATTTATATGATGGGTTACATTGATAGATTTGCGTATGTTGAATCAGCCCTGCATCTCTGGGATGAAGCCTACTTGATCATAATGGATAATTTTTCTAATGTGTTATTGGATTCGGTTTGCCACGATTTTGTTGAGAATTTTTCCGTCAATGTTCATGAGTGAGATTGGCCTGTAATTCTCTTTCTTGGTTGTGTCTTTGTGTCATTTTGGTATCAGGGTAACTGTAGTTTCATAAAAAGAGTTTGGCAATGACTCTTTGTTTCTATATTGTGAAATACATTGAGGAGTGTAGGTATTAGCTCTTCCTGGAAGTTCTGGTAGAATTCTGCATTGAAACCATCTGGTCCCTGGCTTTTTTTGGTAGGGAGATTTTTGATAACAGCTTCTAATTCTTCACGACTGACAGGTCTATTTAGATTGTTCACCTGTTCTTGGTTCAATTTTGGTATATGGTACTTATCTAAAAAATGTCCATTTCTTTTACATTTTCCAATTTTGTGGCATACAGGCTTTTGTAGTAAGATCTAATGATTCTCTGAATTTCCTCTGTGTCTGTGGTTATGTCCCCCTTTTCATTTCTGATCTTATTAATTTGCGTGTTCTCTCTCTGCCGTTTGATTAGTTTGAATAGGGGTTTGTCGATCTTGTTGATTTTCTCCAAGAATCAGCTTTTTCTTCATTGATTCTTTGGATTGTTTTCTGTGTTTCTATTTTGTTGATTTCAGCCCTCAGTTTGATTATTTCCAGTCTTCTACACCTCCTGGGTAAATCAGCTTCTTTTTTTTCTAGAGCTTTCAAGTGTGCTGTTAAGTCTCCAATGTGTGCTTTCTCTGTTTTCTTTAATTGGGCACTTAGTGCTATGAACTTTCCTCTTAGCTCTGCTTTCATAGTGTCCCATAGGTTTGAGTATGTTGTGTCTTTATTTTCATTAAATTCAAGGAAGGTTTTAATTTCTTTCTTTATTTCTTCTTTGACCCAGGGATGATTTAGTAGTTGACTGTTCAACTTCCATGAGTTTGTTGGCTTCCTGGGAGTAGCATTGTTGTTGAATTCTAACTTTAATCCATGGTGGTCTGACAAGACACAGGTGGTTACTAATATTTTTTTGTATCTGTAGAAGTTTGCTTTGTTACTGAGTATGTGGTCAATTTTCGAGTAGGTTCTATGAGCTGCAGAGAAGAAGGTATATTCTTTCCTATTTGGGTGGAGTGTTCTATAGATGTCTGTTAAGTCCATTTGATTCAATACCTCCAATAATTCTCTTATTTTTCTGTTAGATTTCTGTCTGATTGACCTGTCCATTCTTGATTGACCTGTCCTCTGTCCATTCAACAGAGGTGTCTTGAAGTCTCCTACTATTAGTGTGTGTGGTTTGATGACTGCCTTGAGTTCTAGAAGTGTTTCTTTTACATAAGTGGGTGCCTTTATATTAGGGGCATAGATATTCAGGATTGAGACTTCTTCCTGATGGATTGTTCCTGTTACGAGTATGAAATGTCCATCTCCGTCTCTTCTGATTGATTTTAGTTTGAAGTCAATTTTGTTAGATATTTGAATGGCCACACCCGCTTGTTTCTTAGGTCCGTTTGCTTGGAAAGCCTTTTCCCAACCCTTTACTCTGAGTAGATGTCTGTGTTTGCGGTTGAGGTGTGTTTCTTGTAAACAGCAGAATGTTGGATCCTGTTTTTGTATCCAATCTCTTAGTTTGTGTCTTTTTATAGGTGAATTGAGTCCATTGGTATGAAGAGATATTAATGACCAGTGGTTGTTTATTTTGGTTATTTATTTATTTATTTTTTTGATAGTAGAGTTTGTGTATTTCCCTTCTTTGAGTTGTGGTTGTGAAGGGTCGCTAAATGTGTGAGTTATTGTAGGCGGTGTTTGTAATGTTGGATTGCTTGGGTTGTGATTTTCCTTCTATTAGTTTCTGTAAGGCTTGATTTGTGGCTATGCATTGTTTAAATTTTTTTTTATCCTGGAATATTTTGTTTTTTCCATTGATAGTGAAC